GAAGAATAAAAAATAAATGTAACATCGATACTGTTTATCTTGTTCTTTTTACATGTACTTACATTTTACACAAATCATTACACAAGACATTTTTATGATGTTAATTACTTCTCATAATATTTTCATAAAAATGATATTAATTTTAGGTTCTTATTTCATAAGATGAGTATATTGTTGATAAACATTTGTACAAATTTTACAGAATTGTATCCAGTAAGGATATATTGATATCTGTTCACCTTGGCTCTAAGGTGACATACTATATGAGTCTCAAAAATCAATTATAATTAACATAAATCAAATTATAATGTACTTGATATAGAATATAGTATGTAAAAATAGAACATTTGGAAGATTAAATACATGTTACATGTATATTATATAAAAAACAGAAACAAATAATTTAAAATAAAGAGAAACAAATTTTTATAATTTACCATCAAAGTGGACCGAGAAAGATCAATTAAATTTTATGTGTGAACCATATAACATTAAACAAACGTTGCTCAACTAAATACAAATTACATTATTTTTCTAGGAAATACATCGCGTTGTAATGCTTTTCTTAGTTATGCATTTCCAAACTAATTACAAACATTGCATACTTACATATTGTCATATATTTACTTTGCTTCTAATGGCAAAACATAAATTAATGGTTACCTATTATTACTAAAAATAAACAGCAAAATATATTGAAATTTGATTTTAAGACATGCATTGTATAAACATATCACTCTGAACTATGTACAGAGTGATTTTATTTGTCTAAAATTCAAATTTCAATGAAAGAATATAAAAACATAAACAAACCATTATAGTGATGATTGAGAAGAGAATAATAATATTCAGTATCAAAGATGTCTGCCAGACAATATACAAAGGATCTTAGCATTGGTACAGTTTGCATTTAAAAATGCAATGAATGTACTACACATTTATAGTACTGTATTTGTTATTAATTTGCTTCTGAAGGAGCCGCTGGTAAAACATGAACTTGTTGCGCTTTGCTAGCATTATATACTTGTCCAGGACTGAATGGTTCTAATCTTGGGACAGACGCTATTTCGCTCTTTCGAATATCTTAAAAAAAATGTATAAATATTATCAATATTAATATAAATACTACGAATTGAATTCTTTGCAACTTTTCAACTGTTTCATAACGAACAAAACAAACTTTTTTTTCACGAACATAAAACATACTTACCATTCTTTGATTCTGTTGCTGGAATGTATCGAGACAATCTAACAACAGGAAGGGGTAAGTAACCACTGGTTAGCGGCATCACGTCCAATGTGACATTTTGTTTTTCTACGACTTCCAACGACACAATGCCGGCAGTACGGCCACATACAGCCCACATGGCTTGATCGGCAAGAACCTCGTACATTAATTGAGGTGGAGGATTTGGAGTGGGACTGGGCAATATACGTGTTACTGTGAGATAAAGATGGCACATGCTACCAGCACGACAAAATTCACCTCCGTTCCCAGCAGGTTCAACTTTTGAGTACACTGTAAACAAAGTCTGGAAAATGATGTTATAAATAATAATTTGTCTGTTTAAAATATTTTTATATAAAGTAAACTACACAGATGTGTATTTATAAAATCATTTTCATATTACGTTTAATAATAATTACGTTATTAGTAGGAATAACACATAAAACTTGCAAACGCTTAATTAATTTAGAACTATTAAGATAATAAAGAAAATATAATTTACACTCTTACCATATAATCCGTTATATCGAAATTGCATCTATAAATACTGGATGTCTTCTCCATTCTTTGCAAATTATGTATATGCAAAGGATCGTCATTAGTATGTGAATCTTCAGCGTCGTTGATTGGCATATATTTTACGTGAAAATCAGTCTTTATAGGCATCATAGATTTCTCATCTTTACCAATTTCAAGTTCCCACATAAATGATACATTTATTCCGTTACCTATTATTAATCTCTGGCCGGCAATTGGATTTAAACTTTTAAAATTAATATCTATAGATGTTACTGTTATTAATTCCGGTTCAGTCAATTGTAAAAGTTGTTTTGTTAATCCTGTTACAACTATTTGAATAAATTTTCTTCGTTTTGCGGTATGAAGTTTCATATTTGACATAAGTGGTGGACCAAAATGTAATGGTATGCTTTCTTCAACACCCCATGGACATTGTATGTTTAACTGAAAGATTAACATTTCAAATAAATTAATATTTAAACATTATATATCATATGAAAAATAAATACCTTATGTTCCATTGATAAAGCATCTTTCTTTGGTGGTAGTTCAGCTAAAACTTTTAATTGTAATCGTACCCTTTGAAACGGTTCACAAACTGGCAGTGGTGTTTCTAATTCTTTACACATTACTTCTTGTGAATTGCTAACTTGTACAGTTAATCCTCTAGATGTACGTAACTTAAGTTTCATTTCCTTTGTTATTTTTATGTTTTCGCTCATAATTAATTCTATGTCTTGAATAAGACCTGCCAATAAGTCTCTACCGCATTTCAAATTAATTGTTGGTTGAGTCTTCGCTACTTCATAGCATAACCGAGGATTTAAAATGGGCGACAGGAATTCTAATTTTTCTTCAATGACTAATGATAGTTGACCAACTTTGTAAAAACCAGGCTGATCAACACGCCTAACCAATGTAAACGTATTCGTACCCGGTTTCATTATAAACTCGTCGCATGATAATGCTTTGCTAAAATCACCTTTTGCATTTGCAGATGGTTTCCTATGTTTTGTACTATCAGAACGTCTTACAACGGGTTTAGTATTTCTATGTATCATGCTAACTGAAGCAAGACTTTTATCTTCTTTATAATTTATATATGAATATACTTGTAACTGACGCAACCTTGGATCAAATGGCTTCATATCTTCAAGTGTACATTTTGATAACCTGAAAGAAACAATTCATTAATTACTGCTCTTGATTAAGCATATGTAATACAAGAGTTATTACATACAATGGGATTAGAGGTTCAGGTGGTGCCTTTGGCCCCTTTTTTTTATTCAGTGCCTGAGGTTTCTGAATATCTTCAACAGATATAAATGCTTTAGTGCATTTCACTTCTCTTGGAAATAAACTTTTTATACTGATTTCAATATTAACCACGCAATCTTGCACTACCTTGTCCATTACTTTAACTTGCATACTAAGTATTACAAAAGCACATCCAAGTTCTACAAGTAATGGCTGAGGTGATGCAATCATTTTCATATAGCCAAACATTTCTTCAAAATATATATTACGAACAGTAATATGCAACACATTTAAACTGGATATTGCTGCACTGACTTTTGTATATTTTTCAACATCATCCATTCTTTTATAACATTGTGCTAGTTCTAATTGAGTTTGTGCTGCTAAGTGGCCCCATCCTTCATCAGTATAAGTCTTTAAAGCATCCAATAAAAATGCTACAGCTTTCTGATTCTCTCCAAGTTCACAATAGAACTGTGCTAATTCCTTTCCTATTAATCTCGCTGACCGAATACGACCTACATGTTTGTAAGTACCCATAGCTAATTCTGCATGTTCAAGATACTGTTTTTTAAAAGCTTCTTTTGAGGAAAGTGCTTCTTTCAGTTTATCGGTAGGTGTTAATTTCCCTTCTTCTTGTGGTTCGCAATCACCCATACCAGCTATAAGATAAACAACTGTGTGTAACTGTTCACTAGAGGGTTCATTTCCAGGCATTAGACCACACAATTTTCCTAGACTTCCTAACTAAAATAAATTATAAAAATATTTAATCAATAACTTTATCATTTATACCTCATTTATTACTCTTCCAACTTACTTTATCTGTGGCAAGAGCCCATAAACTGGCTGTGTGAAGGGAGCATAGATCTAATTGTTGATTGTTATCAATATTGTCAGTTGATAATTGACAAGCTTGTAGTACCTCTAATGCACAGAGAAAAGACCAACATTCGATGGATCCTTCAGGTCGTTGAACTTCTAAGATTCGTAGTTCACTTAATGTGTTATGTACAAATGACAAGCACCTTTGCGCAACCTAAATTAGGTGTAAAAAAAATAGTTACAAAATAAAATTTTGAACTCATCCAATAAAAACAATAAAATTGTTCAAAAAATTTATATATACCTCCCATGGTTTATTACAGGCTAGTAACATGGCACATTGTCTACTAAATAAATAACTTCTAAGATCTAACAATGATGCTTTACATTCTGCTAGAAGATATCTTAAGTGATGATTTGTACCATTACTTAAATTAACACCTCCCCAATTATTTAAAGGAGTTTGAAATAAATTTAACCAATGTGGAGTATCTGCAAAAGTTCCAATTATTTATTACTGTATATTTTAAAGAATAAAAATGAAACATGGAAAAAGAACAAAATTTTTATACCTCCTACATTAGAATTAAGCACAAATTGTGTGAAGAGAGCATCTAATTCGTCATATTGCACTAATGCTTCATCATACAAGCCTAACATTTGTAGAACAAATGCAAGTTCTTCCTAAAAAAATAATCTCTGATTAGCAACTTTATATTTATGCAAGAAAGCACATAAATGTGACGTCATTGTTTTACTTGTAATAAAAAATAGTGACAGAAATTCCAAGTTGGATGGTTCCTGTTTTCTCTTTGTTCTCTAATGACATCTTCAAAACCAGACAGTGTTTTGTCATAAGCTATAAGCATTAATTGACGTATGCGATTAACCAAACCCCTCCATGATTCAGCTGAACGCATCTCTGATTTTACAGAATTTATTACAGAAAAACATCTGTTTGACATACAACATATATAATGGAAAGAATAATTTATGAAAAATCACATGAGAAACATTCATAAATCAATCATTGTTTATATTACCTGTCTCCATTTTTAGAAGCAAAATCACTGCGAATTTTATCAAGAACTGTAGTTCTAGGTAGTAGTTTATTAGTTTTTTTTATATCATAAGTTTCTACTAATACAATCATCCAATCTTGTATATGATATTGCGTTAATGTTTTTAACCAATTATCTATATCATCTCTAATATTGGCTTTGTAAGTATCTACATCCTACAAATAAGAGTTCTTTAATGTATTTGTATTAACAATTATTATAAATGTACATTTTTACTTTATTATATTAACATATTTACAGAACATTCAGTCCAATAAATATGGAATATTGGATGTTTTATCAGATGCCAATCTTTCTTAGATTCAAGAATATCCTTGGAAAATGGCACAAAACTTGCTCCAAGTTTGACTTGTTTAATTGGTCTACCGAATGATCTACGCCATTCAACTGTATCTGCAGGTATTCCTTTCAACAAACTATTTTCCACTGTAGAGAACAATTTTTCATCCCCAGCATCTGTATTAAAGGTATTATTATATCACCAGGTAGTAAAATAAGTGGGAGTTAGACTCTGAATCTATATTATTGCAAATAAAATTTATAATAACTATATGTACAAAAGTATACAAATATATCTATGATACAAACAATTAATATTCCAAATATGATATAATCAGTAAAATTTGAACAAAATAATATTTTGAATAGGAATGAAAAATTTCAAATATAAAACATTAACCTATTTAAAATAACATATGTTTATTAAAAATTTGGATGTAAAAAAAATTATAATTTTGAAAAAATTCAATATTGAGTATCATAATATTTGAAATGTGCAAAATTATATTTCAATTATGTTGTTAAGAGGAAAGAAATATCATAAAAGTTGACAGTTAGTCGAAGGCGTCAATAACAATGCTTCGCGAAGTCATTTCAAGAAAGAGGTTAAATAAATTAATATTTTGATCAATGAACTTACATGTGATAATTGGTTTAGAATCCATAAAGAGATATGTCTTGCGTTCACCATCCATAGACAACCCCCCATTGCAATTCATTTCTAAAGATTGGCAGTTGCTTCGCGAACTTGCTTTCAATCATTACAACTTTACGTCACTTTTACCAGTTTATAGTAAAATTACTTTTTACTTGATTTTGATAGAACGTGTTTGCAGTCTCAACGGTCTCATTGAATTAAACGACAAAATTATTATTATTCGTCACTAATTAAGAAGAATTCAACAAAAACTTCAATTGGAATTCAACATTTTATTTCAATCGCTCAGATAGATTTCATTGAGGTTGGAATTGGATCTTCATTCAACATGTCGTGTAACATCGATTCTTTAAAATCGATATCTCGTAGCATTCAAGATATTGCATGATGCTGTTGTTTGTTGCAATCTTCTGTTAGTAAAATTAAACGTTACTGACTTACAGGATAAGAATCAAATAATTTTCAAATGAAGAAGTATGTTGTAGCAAGTTATTAATAATGTATTCATAAAATACAATTATTACATACTATTTAACTATGTGTTGAGAATTATGAAATTAAATTGAATGGTATGTATAAAAAATATATTGAAGTATAATATATTTTGAAAGCAAATTTGTATAAGGTTAACCATTTAATTGTTAATATTTTAATAAAAAATGTTGATTGCGACGAAATATGTCTATTCTGATTTTTTCAGATTGCTTTAAAAATATTCAACATTTTATAATTGATATAATTTATTTAAAAAATACAAAGTAATGATGTTAAAGAAACTTATCCATAAAGTTCCTGGTGAAATACCAGCCCCTTCTAAAAAAGAAAATCAAGGATATATAGAAGACTTAGGAATGAAACAGAAATTTGAATTAGAAGAACTGTTGGAAAGACAAAACAAAATTCTTGCTAATAAGTAGGTAAGGTCTAAAGCAAATGTTCTATTATTAGATAATTTGTTTCTAATACATATCTGTTAAACATTATTTTTAGATCATTTGTAATGAAGCTTCCAGATAAAGGGCAAAAAATTCAAAAATTTCGTGACAAAATATTGAAAGAAATAGAAAGTAAGAATGAGATTGAACAAGCTGCTGATCTTTTATCAAGACTAAATCTGGCATCTGAAGGTAAAAATGCTATGAATGAATTAGAATGGACTGGTAAATATACTGAAAAAAGAGATGTGGTCAAGATTGTTGAACTTGACAGTGATGATGAAGAAGATCCACTAAAAATATTAGCTCAAGTTAGTTTTATATTATTAATAATTATTTCATAATGTTCTCAATAATATATTTTAATGTTTATTGATATATTCTGTGCTACTAGCCTACAGGTTCTGGTGCACATAAAAAGAAAATTATCCATTTACCACCAGAGGAAAGTTTGATTAAACCAGAAGATTTAATAGAAATAGAATCACTTAAACAAGAAGAATCTGAAGAGGTAGAACATGTTAAGTACATTCTCAATAGAGTAGAAAAGCCTTCAGAAGGAAAAGATAAGAAAAAGGAACCATTTAAACCATATAAAACTACTAAATCTGATGTACACAATCCAGAAAAAGAAAAACAAAGAAAGCCAAATAAACATTGGGAAGTTACAGCAGCCACTCCACCACTCATAGTTCATGGTGCAGTACAAGTTATAAATTTAAATGACTCCCTAAAACTGCAGAAGGAATATAAAGAAAAACTTCAAGTAATCAGATTGGTTTTGCATTTTATATATTTATCCGAGTATATAGTATATTTATTTATAATTGTAATATTGTTTTGTAGGAAATTCAAGCGAAGCATGCAGCAGAAAGATTAGCAGAACAACTTGGTTTGCATACTATTGGTGCTCCATCGGAAAATGTAGGCAATTACCGATTGCATGAAAACGACTCTAGTTCATCTTCCACTTCAGACGATGAAGAAGAAACTGAAGTTCACGATGATGAGGATAATGACAAAAGGGGCACAGTTGTTTTTACAGTAGACAGTATAGAGCATTAATCTAATCTATTTTATTATATAAAAATGTGAAGATTGTATTAATATATTTGTAAATAAAGTTATTTATTTTCTTAAAAATATCAATAATTCCAATTTTGTGCACTGTTTTCTAAGGAAATATTCAATATAAGAAAATTAAAGCGTTATGGTTATTAAAATTACTTTCCATTTCCTTCAAAATTTATAAATGAGTATCATGAAAAAATAAAACATAAATTATTAAATATATGCTGTTTATATTAGTAAAACTACAATGATAAGATGTAATAATGAATCAAAGTAAAATGTTTATGGAACTTTATTATTTTTACAATTTTTATATTAATTGTATCCAAAATTATTAATAATTGCTGTGTATGGTGCTGTGGCTTTGACAACGGACTGCCCAGCTTGTTTGGTAAGTTTCTGAAACAAAAGCCATATGTAGTGCAAAGCTAATTATATAGAAAATTATAATCCAATTTCTTAATTTACCTTGAGTTTGTCTCTCTTTTGAACCTCAAGAATTGATCTGACACGTCTCTTGTTCTCCAGTGTGCGTACCACAGCCTTGTATTTCCATCCAACTTCATGAGACAGTCTACCTACATGACAGTACTAAAAGAAAGAATAACAGTTTTAGTCTAATTTTTTTTTATACCAACTTATGCTTAATCATTTTCACAATATTTACTCAGCAAAAAGTGACATCATAAAATATGAAGCAAATAATGCTCAGGCGCAAATTACCATACCATCATTGTAGAAAAATTGAAAAATATATTGAATATTTGTAATAATTAAAATTCAAGAATATTTTAAAATAATATTTGATCTTACCTTCCTACCAGGTTTCAGACACATAACTCTCATTGCTCCTGGTACAACAACACGTTTTCTACGATCATATGGTGGTGGACATCCTTCATATACCTTCAACCTTCTAAGAGCATCCTTTCCTCTTTGTGTTTTGTGTGGAATCATACCTATGCATTAAATTTTCTCTGAATTTCTTAATATTTATGTAGCAAACTACTAAATATTCAATAGTAAATAATCTCATATGAAATGTTTGTTTCATTGCACCATCAAATAATGTAGGTAAGATATGTGATAATCATTGATAAACACTAATTTCAAATTATATAGTTATCAGTTAATATATTTGTTAACATACCCCGGACTGTTTTCCATAGTATTTTACTAGGGGCACGGAAGTGGAAAGGTCCACGGGCTGGGTTTACATTACATCTTTTGCGCAAGAATGACATAAACTTCAATTTGTTCCTATAATAAAAATTTTACATATAATTAACTGTAATATTAGTAAATTTAAAATACTTATTAAGAAAGTAAGATACATACAAAAGTATCTATCATATAGAATAAAGAACAGTAGAAGAATAGAATAAATTCTTACAAACCTGAAGAAGTTACCAGAGATATTAAGTTGTTCACTCCGGACAACAATTACTTTATTGCCTTGCAAAATAGTTTTGGCAATAATTGCTGCCAAACGACCGAGTAAATGGCCACGGCCATCGATTAATATTGGCTAAAAACGTATAAATATAGAAATTAAATAATATAAAACATTTTTTACACTATAATAAAGAATTATGACGAAAAGAAATATGTAGAGTTTATTCAGTTTTATAAGAGACAAATTATACACTCATACACAATACTGTCATAATAAATAACACGTGTCAAATATAAAAAATACTTTAAAACAAAATTAATCGTTCGGTAAATATATTTCGAAATATGTATTATTATTATTGTGAAAAGCACTAAATTACTACGTAACATGTATCTCGTTATTCCAAAATATCAGGCACAGTTGTAGGAAAACACGTGTATGTGGTCACACAAATCATACAATGATTACAAAATCTGGTAAGAAATTCGCGTTAAATATACATGCAAAATATTTATTTATATTTTTTGCGTATTCTACTTCTTAAAATAATCATACTTTTAATATACTAATGATATTATGTGAGTTAAAATAATAAAACTGAAACTACATACCTTATTACTGAAGCCAGTCATTTTGTCACCCTACCGGAAAAGGGTCCATAAACGTTGAGAGATGCGCGACCTCTTACCGGAAGATACCGAGAAGGCTATCAGTATGGCCAACATTCAACATTGATTTATTCTACAAGTAAAATTAGACACACAATATTGTTTATGTTTAAAATAATCATAAAATACCATTAAATTCATTTTTAAATAATAATTTTTTAACTTTCACTTATAATAAAATAAACTTTCCATACATGAGCTTGTACACTAAAGTTTTTATAAATACCTAGAAATTAAAAATTATACATTTAATATAATTTATTACATTTTATACCAATACTCAATTATTCTAACTATCTGATTATTTAATTGTAAATGTGAGAATTTTTTCTGTGTAATTAATAATGCATTAATTGTCATTGAATATCACGATGTAAGATAGTATACTCATTTCTTTTAGTGAATCTTTAGTGAATCTGAATTGTAGAGTGAGATAGAGAAATGTTTTAATAATAGGTGTTTGTTAATCGCGGTAAAATACTAATAATAAGAAATTTCGTATTGACGAGATCGACGTTTGTTATAAGATAGTAATAAAAGACTGGTTCAGTTAAATAAACAGTAAATTTTGTAGGTAAAGTTTTAAATTTTGTGATGCTCTTGAATTCAATTCGAGGTTATATGTGTCATTGAAAATGAGTGAAAAACAGAAAGTATTAATTTGTGGAGACGTAGAAGGCCATTTTAAGTTCTTATTTAATAAAGTTGAGGGTATTAATAAAAAGAGCGGACCCTTTGATTTTTTATTGTGTGTGGGAAACTTTTTTGGTGAAGATAATATAGAACTTGAGGTCTATAAAAATGGCGCAAAAAACATTCCCGTTCCAACGTACATTATTGGCGCGAACAGGGAATCCGATTTAAAAAATTATCCAGAGGAGGATGGTTGTGAAATATGTCAAAATCTTACGTATTTAGGAAAACGTGGTGTGTACACTGCTGCTTCAGGACTGAAAATAGCCTATGTCAGTGGTATAGAAAGTAATTCTTCTGAATCAAAATCTATCTACTTCAATGAAAATGATGTTGTATCAATTAAGAATTCTTGCTTAAGAGGCCAACCTAGTTTTCGTGGCATTGATATATTGTTGACTTCCCCTTGGCCTGTTGGAATCACAAATTTGGATCCTAATAAACCAAATTTTAATTATAAAGGTTCAAAATTAATTGCATGGTTGGCTACTCAAATAAAGCCAAGGTATCATGTATCAGCATTAGAAGGTATTCATTATGAAAGACCACCATATAGGTAATTAAAATTACATTCATTTCAGCAATATTTTTGTTGATTGTGATATTTGTAGATTTATAAAATATTTTAACTTTTAGGAATCAGAGCCAGAAAGATGGTAACATTGAAATAGCAACAAGATTTATAGCACTTGCACCTGCACTAAACACTCAAAAGAAGAAATGGTTATATGCATTAAATTTAACTCCTGTTGATAGAACGCGTCTGTCTGACTTAGTTATGAAGACTACAGATGAAACAGAAAGTCCTTATCCTAAGGCAATGTTATCAAATCAACCTGGTGTACAAAAGGAAGAGCCAAAGTGTGCACAGTTCTTTTATGATATGGAATCTAAAGATACTACAAAGAGGTCAAAACATTCAGAAGGACGCAGTAAGAAACCGAAACCAGAATTTGATCAAGCAAAATGCTGGTTTTGTTTGTCAAGTCCTGAAGTCTCCAAACATTTGGTAATATCAGTTGGAGCAGAGAATTATGTTGCCCTTGCTCGAGGCGGCTTAGTTGAAGATCACTTTTTAATTTTACCAATAACACATCATCAAAGTCTTTCAATTTTACCAAAAGAGGTAAAAGAAGAAATGGATCAATATAAAAATGCGATTACAAAATACTATGCTACTATGGACAAAGTACCTGTATTCTTTGAACGAAATTATAAGACTTCTCATTGTCAGTTACAAGTTATACCTATTCACAAAAACTTAGCACCTGGTTTAAAGGAAACATTTGAGGTAAATTATTATACTTTGTATTATATGATAAATTGTAAATTAACAGTGATCTATATATTTCTTTTCTTTTGTTAGGAAATGGCAGAGTGTAACAATTTCAAAATTACTGAACTACCACCACATACAGATCTACAACAGATTGCAAAACCAGGTGTTCTATATTTTTATGTAGAATTGCCAAATGGAGAAAAGTTATATTACAGAATTAAAAAAGATTTTCCACTTCAGTTTGGTAGAGAAGTATTAGCAGCTGATAGAATATTGGATATTAGTGATAGAATTGACTGGAAAGATTGTCAAGTTACAAAGGAAGAAGAAATTGAACTAGCAAACAGGATTAGAAAAGAATTTCAACCATTTGATTTAGATACATGAAATTGTATAAAGAATTAACAAATCTATATTGTAATATATGTATATACATTTATACATAAACTTTTTTTAAATATACAAATAAAGTCATTTTTTATGATAAGAAATGGCATTAGTGTTATCCATTCAGCGTTCCATTTTTTTGATATTTTAATTCATGATCTTCTGGTGTTGCTAGAGGATCTATTCCACTTTGTTTCATTTGCAATGCTATATCAAACAAATAATCGTAACATTCTGTCCTGTAAAGTGTATATGTTAGTAAGAAAAAAGTAGAACAGAGTCATCACAAATTAATGGTAATTACATAGTCTTTGCTTGTTGCCATGAATCACCCCAAACATAAATTCCATGTCTTCGTACTAATACAGCACATGTCTCTGGATAAGCAATAATGGTCTTATCCAATTCATCTCTTAAGTCTTGTTCAAATGGTGTATTTTCAATTATTGGTACTACTAATTCTTCATCATAACGATATGCTCTTCCCAATTTCTGATTTCTTATACCTGTTACAATTTTTATTATATTTTCATAGGTAACAGTATGCAAGTTCATATTCTTTAACACCTAATTCATTCTTTTATACCTTTTATCATTTCAAGATGAGTGACACGAAATTCTTTACCAGGCCAATGTAATGTTACCATTACTGCAAATTTAGAATGAGTATGAATTACAGCTGCGGCATTCCTCCTTAAATATGCACACATGAATAATGGAGTACATTGGGATTTTTTCAACTTTTTCTCTGAAGGTGGAAGTTCTAAGTCTTTCCCATTAATATCTTGTACAAACATTTCATTTGGACATATACGTTCCTTTTGGACACCAGATGGGGCAATATATATTTTGTCTCTGTAAAATTAATATTATTTTAAAAATATTGATCATATTGTGTTTATTATCATTAATAAATAATACTAACTCATGTTTAATAGATATACCACCACCAGTACCAGTAACCCATCCAAGATCATAAAATAGCCTACATAATTCAGGAATCAAATTTCTTGGATGTTCCTGTAAAGTAGATTAATCAGTGGAATAATTTATAAATATAAAAATATTTTTAATGTAATACCTTATCATATTTCTCATCAAACGAAGACATTTCTTACAGTTCTATAAAAAAACTGAGCGAATTCTGTAAGATATAATGTATATTAAGTAGGTACTATCAAAGTCTTATCACTTTCATTCAGCGATCACGAGTTCAATGCTGCTTTCGAATTCATCTGCAAATACTAGGATAATACATCTCAGTAATTAATCTTAAATTTGTGTCATTGAATATCGGACTTTAATTAGTGTAACAGTACTTTTTATGGAAGTTAACGTCTATACCGATCGTAGATTTTATGTTATTCAAGAGTTATCCGTTCTATTTGTTAGAGTTCGCTAGTGTATGTAGGGAGTCTTCTAAGTGTCGGTATTTCAAGACAGATGATGAACTTTCGTTACATATAACTTCTATATGGGTTTTAAGTCTGTGGCTAAACTGTCATTAAATCCACGATGTTGACTTGTACCCATTGTCTCCATCGACATTTTCTATGAAAATTGTTGTTTAACCTCTAAGTAACATGGCTACTTGGATCACAGTGACACCGCGGTAGTATTTAGATTTCAAAATTTTTGTTATTTCACAATTCCTTCAAAGTAAATAGTTCTGATTATTATTGATTTACCTAAAAGGTGTTGGAAGCTGACATTTTATAAATATGGAATACTTTCTATATCAAATTTAACAGTGATTTTTTCGTTTTAGGCTTGAACAAGGTTTAAAGATAATAAATCAAATAGATAATAGCAAATTTCGATTACTCATAAATCGTATTTGTCAAACACTTCAATCTAGTGTTGATGCAAAAATATTCAGTGAGGATGAAGAAGAAAAGCTACTAGTTTCTTTGGGTTTAAATAAAGATGATTTGGTTGTTCTCCTGGAAGCAATAATAACAATTTACAAACAAGCTGCATGTAATATTATAAAACCACAGTTAATGGAAACTACTTTAAAGAATATTGTTAAAACTGATGACGAGAAGATTCAAATATTTCTGAATGCTTGGATAACGTATGGTAAAGGAATAATAGATAATTTTAGACAACAATCTATATTTCCAGTTCAGGTAAATTATGTATTATTGTTAACAATATATGTGATTTTATAAGAATATTTTTATGTTTGGAATAATAGAATATGCTGTGTATTTTAGGTCAAAGATATTGATTGGTGTTTGAATATTCAAGCTTCATCTTCTACTATCAAAAAGGATGTACGTCCAATGGCATTGCTACAATTAAATCTGACAGGTGAAAGGCAATCTAAATTAACAGTTGAATTTGATAAAAAAGAACTAACAGACTTATATCATAATTTAGAGAAGATACAATCCCAATTAGATGCTCTCAAATAATTTGTAAATATTACTCCTAAGTATTGTAAAATTATTTGTACTATACAAAATATATTTTCTAACTTTTTCTATTAATTATAAATATAATTAATTGTTATGAATATGTTAAAAACCAGTTTAGGTATATTTTATTAAAACATTGTTTACATAGTAATACATTTTCGATTCTTTATTACATGAAAATCATTTACATATGTATATTCTCATACACTTTAGACGGGTTTCTATATTTAGTAACCCTTTCATAGAAATGTGGACTTCTGTTCGGTATAATATTATCGATACTCAATATATTTTGACAATTCGATTCATTATCAGTGATTCGTATATCTGGAGGTTTCGTTCGATTTGTGGAATACCGTTCCGTATTCAGTCGTGAAATTTGTTTCTTTTCTGATGACGGTAAGGTTTCCAAAACGTGTGATGACTTCCGGACAAATAGACGCGCCTTACAGACTACCAAAACAACCACAATAATCATTAGGAACAAAATCACAGCCGTCAAAGCGCCTACTATCCATCCTAGCTTTTCGTCTAAAATGCAAAATATAAAGTATAGTTTTTAAATATACGTTGAATATAATTAAAATAAATAAAAGTCATAGTAAAATGCAGTAATACGTACCGCTTAAGCTATTCAACAGAACAACAGACGCGCTGCCTAACTCTTCATCGCTATATTCATTAGCCACTGTGAATTTGCACATCCACTGCCCCAGATCCGAATGGTCTGGTTTAAATTCTAATGTACATATACCTGTACCATAGTTCATTTGAATATTATGCCTAAAAGATGGGAAAAATGTTTAAATAAACTGAGGTTTGTAGACCTCATGTTAAATAATTAGAAGTACCTCCTGCTCCCGGTCATGTTTTGATAGATATGGATCTTCGGGGCGTGGATCCAGTGGCATTGCACTGCTGATAGCACAGTTTCCACTTTGCACGTTAGCGTGACCAATTGATGAGGTACAGCCCACACCGCGATAGTCACTGGTTCTAAAAATCATCAATCCCTTCTGTAATCAATATTTTACAACTTGTTCTGTTTCTTCAACACAATAACGGAAAGCGTTGATGTATCTTCTTCGGTGCAGATTCTTGAAAACGAGCATAGATCGATGTGTGTGCATTCGGTGCTCCAATTGTGCATAAACGATTTCGTGTTTAGTGTGTTGTGTACATATATGACGATACTGGATTACTCACAATTTATAGCAATCTTTAAATGTATTCAAAAAATAACTTGTATCTAAGACATTATATTTAATTCCTGAAAAAGTGAAACTTTCAATACTAAAACAGAGTGCCAGGGATAATCCTTTGATAGCTGTCAGCAATGAAACGATTTTGACAATAAGTTCACTTCAGTGAAACACTCAGCAAACACATAACACAAATTACCTTAAATCATTGAATACGAATTGTCACTTAGAAGCAGTTCAAACTTTGCAACGAACAAGGGTGTGTAGAACTAATTTTACATATAAAATTGAATAGGAATAGACTTTTCCTGTGGAAGCTCTTCTAGTTCGGTCGAAGGGGAACACAATTCATACGCCCCGAACCAATATCACAGTTACAGGTGTGCGAATGTGATTCTGTCGTTAGTACTGAAGACAATGGCAATGAGAAAAAGCGCAATGAGGTTTTCGTATTACCATTTATTCAAAGTAATCTTTTACAATGCCGGGAACCGACGCTCAAACGCGCAAGGAAACGCACGATCCAGTCCGGGTGCAGATTCTCGAATTTACTCACTTTGGGAACTTAACAAGTAATTCAATGGCACACGAGGATATTAGTTAAAGAAGCGTTCTAATGTTTGATTTATTGCACGCGTTGCGTTCCCATGAACCGGGCCGTTCGATCGACACCGTCTGCCACCGGATGTTCCACGCCGTGAAAGTCCCGGGTACCGATTTTCATCCCGGAAAATCACGGCGATACGCTTCGAGTGCTGTCATTGTTTTGCGAGTGAACATCCTCATAAGAAGGAGAAGCTTAACAGTAAAAATTGTCTACTTAGCATTAATTTTAGCATGTAGCTGGATATAGTGAGTATATAATAAGAATGTATCGTAGTATTCTAAAAATCCCGCTTTATTATGGACTTATCACGCAACGGTTAAAACGTGACACACAAGTTTTCGCATTGTTCCTGGGCTAGTACGGATTCGACCAGCCGACTTTACGTTGCTCGTCGACTGACTCCGTTTAGCGATCACCTGACAGGTTCTAATTCTTATTAGCACACGAGAGAGTCTCTTAATGGGCCTACTTCACTTAACAAATAAATATTCTTAATCTTAACGTTAAAGTTTCATGCGTAGTCTTCTTTTATTCTTTTTTTAAATAATTACTAGCTAATGCGCCTCGAATCTAGAGTTACGTATTACAAACGTGAGAACGGTGCTTCCCGCTTCGGTGTCGGGCCACAAGGAAAATTGTTTCGCCGTTCGTCAAAATTGTCTGCAGACCAAGCGCCGTCTCTTTGAAAAAACCTTCGGACTCCGCTTACCGAGAGCACGAAATATTATGGTCATACATGTTTCTCTGTTATAAATTCGAAACTAGTAGAAAGAAACATTTCGTGACTTGAATATTAATTAATCTTCTCGATCCTATTACCTTGGATATATATAGTCTTCATAGGTATACTCGGTTTTGTTCCCTAAGAGTTGAAAGCTTCCGTTTCGCGTGGAATACGTACGAAATAAATGTTGCAACGAAAAGTAATTACAAAACAAACTTTGGAGTGGTTGTTGGCGTTACGCGTGGGTTGTCGAGGTTGCACAAAATGGCAGCGCGCAGGGGGTTGAGATAAGGAAGAGTTTGGCGGCGAGCGTTTTCTCAAAGGCGCGGCTCCGAACACTTTCCCCGCCGACAGCCGCTTTCGACAATAAATAATACGAAGAATGACAAGAAACGCAGCAAAATCGGCCGCGGAGAGGCTTATATACGCACGGGTACGTGCCTAACGCGGCTACTAACTATGCTAAATGCGAAATCATTTGAGCGTAGTCCTGCCGTTGAGCATATAAATAAGAAAGGGTGAATGACATTGAGTGATAGATGTTATTTAACGAAAGGTGCGCATTCGCGAGCGTGCCGTCGCGAGATCGTGGAGAGTCCACGCTCGATAGATCCTCCGTGGTGTGTATAGGAATGATTAGAGACACGAGGTGTACAACAGAGACAAGTTAATCATAGACACGAAATGATTGTTATTAATGGTACGATCTTGCCGGGCTATGTTACATACTCGGTGTTCCTTCTGATGATGTATCCGATGCGCAAGGAAAGCGGACGGGATCACGAATCGTTGATCAGCCGCCAGGCTTCCAGGCTTAACGCTACCGATAAATCTACGCGAGGAAAACAATAACAGTTGGCGGCAAAAACAACGATACGCGATGAGGATCTAATGCTAATAAATGCAAATACGATCGCATGGCAGATGCGTCGTAATGAGCAAGGAATCTCAATCATCATTTTTTCCTTCTTCTAAATACAGCGGAAACATAGCGTCTAAATCCGACGCAAACGAGGATTGTAAAGGGTTAGAAATTCAACGATAGTGTTCAGGGGGTGAAAGACAAAACGATGAGAAAAGAAAGGACGGGTGAAAAGAAAAGAACGCCTCCGTTGTCCGTGGATCGGTAAAAATTGCACGAGCTTCGCGAAATCTTGGAACGAAATATATATCTTTTTGTACGTCCGTTTACTGCGACGGTGTACACGTGGTCGATGACTGATTCCCGAGAGATAGTGTTCTGTATACAGAGCCGCGCGAACGTGTAAGTACACAACGATATGATAGTTGAAACGGCATGCAGATTCCATCACCACCGCGATGCCTTCACCCACAACAGTCTTCGAGGAACCTGGACGCGATTTAACTCCGAGTCTACAGTGCCAAGATCCGTGATCGATCGTCAACCGGCAATCACTCTTGCAATCAGCTGTTCTTATCGCGTCCTCTAATAGTATATTCTAAAGCTCGCGATACCCCAGCAAACGTCTTTACACATGTCGAACAACATCCTCCTCGCTCGAGTCTCTTTCAGAGAGCCGAAGACCCTTCTCGCGATATCAATCACAAATATCAACGTTCGTTGCACGATCCAACACGTACACATGTTACACAGGGCGAGTCACTCGACAATTGAGCCCAAACATTCGGTGGAACAGGAACGCCACAGAAAATGGTGGCCATTATTACCGACGAACCGAACAAGCTCGAGTCTCCGTTTCGGGAATTCGCAAAAGCACGCGTCGATGCATCATCACAGTTATAAATATTGCGATCCTGTGAGTGAATCATCGCTAAAAATCGCTGAACGATTCGCGTGTGTCGGCTTTCGACGAAGAATGTCACGGTTCCGCGTGAAAAGGTAAAAAGAACCTTACATCGCTCCTAGATAATATTCCGAGGCAAAAACATCGAAGGAAATCTAAGGTTTCTCGATGGAAAACTTCCATCCATTTTCTGTGACCTCAATAGCGGGTAAAGAAAAAGAAAAAACGAACGTTCCCCGTTTCCTAGTGACTCATCCTGCACAATAATACATGAAACACATAACATACGCTTACACTGTACACTCTTCAGGATCTATGGCCGATCGTCGATTACGACCACGCCTCGAAGTCCTCGCAAGGAATGCTCGTCGATACCGCGCGATTACGTCGACCACAGATCCGAGGATCGATGATTGAATAATGCTTAAACACCCCCACCGTGGAAGGAACGTCACGAATCCATCTCAGGATTCGATGATACCTGGTTCCAGGAGGCTCAGCTTGGCCGGCGGCGCGTCCGTGTAGTTCTGTCTGCCGCGTATCCTTGCGCCGCAGGTCCAGAGTCCTTCCTGTTCAGCTAGAGCGTGGCTCAATCGGACGCTGCAGTCCCTGGCCTCGGTTCCGTTCGGCAGGAACTGCTTCACCACCACCGTGGTGTTCGAGTTCACCGGCGTTAGGGACCATCGGCACTGTTCCACCGCCGACGAGGTCACGCAGCGAAGGAGAACGGTTCCGCCGGATGATATCTGGATGTCCTGCGAGAGCTCCGAGAACTTGACCTCGTCTGGAACGATTCGAACATGAAGATAAGAACAAAGGAAACGGGATAACGTTTCGACACGCTGTATCGGTACGCGGTACAATAAAGTTTGGAGAAAGTGTGGATTGATCGGTAGCCGCCCGAGAAGTTGGAACAGTGAGATAAAACGTGAACGAGCGGATAACAGAAACGTTATTCATTGTCTCGGAAAGAGGTTCGCACATTTATTCGCGGGCTCATTGTTGTACCCCTAGGAAAGAGAAGAACGTACCGAGAAATGTGTGTTTTCGTTACGAAATATTTCGCTTGAGTATTCTCTCCAGTCTAGCCTCCTTTATTTACTCGACAAGTAGAATGGGCACCGGAAGAGCGAGCAGAAAAAAATGGAGGATGAGGTTACCTTGCTCGAAGACGGTGAGCTTCACGTAGGGAGAGGACAGCACCGTGTTGAGAGAACTGATCGACACCTGGCAGGCCCACTGACCCTGTTTTTCGGCGTACACGCGCGGGAGAGTGAGCGAGCAATCTCTACCAAGGTCGCCGTTGCTCGGGAATTCCTGAGCGACGACTTCTGGATCGTTTCCGTGAAGCGGTTTCCAGGTCCACGTACATTTCTCGACGCGGCTGCTCGTTATGCATTTCAACGAGGCCTCCGTACCAATCGGCGCGGAAGTGTCCGTCGGCATTTCAACGAAGCTGACTTTGGCTGGAACGAACCAGAGATAAACCGGGCGATTAAAGGCACGTTCTAGCGAATACCTTCGCGCGTTTCACCCGGCGCTAGGTTTCAGCCAGCCTTTCCAAAGCTTTTGCTCGATTAACGCGGAATGTTGTTGTCGATAGTCCAGGGACCATTAATCTTAGAGAGCAATTCGTTTTATCTCCGAAGAATTTTAATGAAACGAAAATAATATGACATTCCCCGGGTTCTTTTCGAACGTTGATTACCTGTGGGCAAGAGGCTGACAGTCGCAGGTGGCGCCCCGTGAAGGATTCCTTCCGGTGATAATCGAACGCCGCAGGTCCACAGGCCTTCTTCCTCGTACACGATATTCTTGAAACGTACGGAACAGTCGTGGTCGGCTTCTTTGTTCGGATTGAACTTCCTCATTAGCGAGGGCTCGTGGCTGGAGTTCGAAGCCTTCCAGGACCACTCGCATTGGACCACTGGCTTGTTCACCAGACATCTGAGCAGCACTGACTCTCCGGGTGCCACTTGTATCCCTCTGGACAGTTGGACAAACTCGACTAACAAGTAAAAGGAAAAATGGTTTTATTAGAAGCGATTTCGTGTAAATGATTGATTGTAAATTTAAAAGGATCACTGATCAATGGAACTAGTAACCACTTTAATTCTCAATAACTGGATGATATATAAATTATTGAGTAGTTAACGACGAATTTTAATTGTCGATTGCAAGGCAATCCTCTCACCTTCCGATATTAGGAATCGAATGGGATTCGACTGCGTGAAGGACGAGTTTGGATCGATCCTGGCGCCGCACGTCCAGTATCCTTCTTGTTCCGGCAACACGTTCTTGAACTTGATGCTGCAGTCCGTGCTGTCGTTGCCGAAAGCCGGGAATCGTTTCACCTCGAGATTCCATGGTTGCGATTGGTTCAACTGTCGCCAAGACCATTGACACTCACGGACGGGTGACCTCATCTGGCACATGATTTGCGCCGAGGATCCTGCTGGTACCTCGACCACGTTATCGTACTTTGCGAACGCTATCAGGACGCCTGTGAAACATGTTCGTTCCCTGATGACGGTGCTCTCGTACGAAAATTTCTCGCGTAAAATTTTCTAATAAAAATGATCGGTCGTCGCGTAACAGTCGAAAAGTTCGTCGCGACGCTGTTAAATCTCATTTTGGAGCGCCAATTAAGCCGCCGCGAACGAACGGCGCGTGCTGACGAACGTGTAAAAATATTTAAATGATCCCCCCGCGATTCATTATCAGTTTGATGGTCGGCAATAAATAACGGGAATGAGGTATCGAGTCATAAAACGTTAATTGATCAATCGATCACACTAAATGCGACTCGATCCTCGGTCAGAAGTCCCGAGAGACAATGAGCATTCCATACCCTGATTCTCATTGACGATGCTCAGCTTGGCAGGTTCTGTGCTGGTGAAAGGATCATTCGTGGAAGTTCTCGCGGCGCAGGTCCAGTATCCGGTCTGCTCGTGCTTCGTACTCGAGAATCTTACGGAACAGTCGTTGCTATTGTTCCCGAAGGCAGGAAATTGTCGTACCGGCAACGGATTGGTAGTCGGCGTAGTTGTCGTCTGAATCACCGGGACCGTGGTGGCTATAAATTACAATCATACATCGGTAAATGCGCGACACGCGAGCACTGGAGGAAACATTCGATCCGAATGAAAATTTTGCGTTCTTCCGATCCTGTGCAATTAAAGGAGACGGCCACCGCGCAATTAACTATTCCCTCGAAACACGCGCGTGCTGTCGTGGTGTCCGTGTGCATGTGTAACGAGAGTATTGCGCACGGTAAAGGATGAGTCTAATGTCAGGAAGAGCTCAGCCTGCTCGGACAGGAATGCGATAGATATCGAGCGTGTTCGGAGGAATTTACAGAAGCCTGTATAAATTCTACCACTCGGTCTTGGGCGTAAGGTCAGAGTTTGCCTAAATTCTACCAAGGGTGGACGCATTTCTACTTGACATTATGGCCGACTGTATTTAGGCACCTGTGTTTGGACACTGGGAAACGCATTGCTCTGCAGAGGAAATTAACGAAAGTTTCGTTACAGCTCTCACAATCATTACAATCCTCTATATCATTGAAACATTTACTTTTCCACAAGCTCTTCGCCTTTTGTCCTGCTTTCTAAATTTTATAAAACATATAAAATTGGTATAACTAACTCGTCGAACTCGAGGGGTTCTCGCTGATGTCCGGAAGCGGCAGATGAACTGGCGGTAATGGCTGCCAGGACCATTGGCACTCGGCCACAGGATTAGCGGTTCTGCATGCCAGAAGTACCGACGAGCCGAGTTCTGTTTCTGTGTGCTCTGGAACGTCGACGAATGTCACCGGAGTCGGCGGTGCCTTCGTTCCCGGCAGAATGTCGTCCATCGAGTGACCCTGAATCTCAGGATCACCGGTGACAGTCGAATTGCTACTGGCGGGCTTAACCGTGGTGATTTCTTCGGGCTCCTCTGTCACTGGCACACCTGCGAACAATACCGCAACATTATCGTTTACCATCGTATAGAACCGGACACCGGAACTAGAACTACAGAACGAACAGATCGAGTAGAAAGTCCCTCCCCTTTTCACAAATCTCATGTAAAAATTCCGACCAGGGAAGTCGTTCAGAATGCGGTCTGCTTGGACAACGCTGTTGCTTCACCGCGCGAGGAGGTGCGTGTTTGAAAATTCCAGAAGTATTCGGAATTCCGCGACGTGTATCTATAATGCGATCACGTCCCCCTAAATTGCCAACTGATCGTCCATAAAGAAGTTCTCCGAGCTATATTTGGATTGCAGATTCCATCGATTTCAAATGCGGTCTGCGTTCAACGTGGGACACTAACAATAAGTCCTTTAGCAGTTTAAATTGGAGGGTTTCGAGTTGAAGGGAAATTAATGGGTATTATTCTTCGATTATTTATTACTTTAAATTATGTGTTATTCAAGTGATGCTTGTCTTTCAGGCTCGACGTCGTTCAATGAATAGTGACGCTAATTATTGAATAATTAAATCCACACATCGGAGAATAGTTCAATCATTTTCTTTACTATCATAGCGATGAATCAAAACTCTTCGTTAACCGTGCACATCCCACACGAAGCAGCTCGAACGAAACAGTTTCATTACCATCTGGATATCGATAGTGATATCACACTCACTTTCAGAATTCTCGAATAGAATCAATGGACGGAACGTTGAACATTTCGATCCTAGAAGGAGACAATTAAATCCGTCAAATTCCCTCTACGTGATTCCACAGGTTGATCCAAGTGTGGACCTACCTTTAACGTGGTGAACTACACCATGATCCGAAGGAACTCAGCTGAACATATATGTAGGACACATCGGGCAGGAAGCTACGACAGTCACGTAGACAATCGCCTTGCGTCGCGCGTCTGTCACCATGTGCAAATAGACACAGGGACGGATCGATAATGAAATATTTGTAAAAACGGTGAACCACGGCGAAAAGTATAAAGAACACGTAATCTTATCTTCCGCGCAGATCTCTCGTTTTCTCAGCCCCTCCACGGGTTCGACGAAAAGGACAAGTGCATCTTTTTCTACTCGCCGTGTTACGCAATCGCATTGTTAAAATGTTGCACAACGGAAAACTTAATCGTCTGTTCGCTAAAAGATTTTTCCTCAACAGTCTCCGGTTTTCGTTCGGCGATTTCTTTTCAATTGGATATCGTCATTAAATTCGGGTACCCCGCTGGAAGTTACAGTTTCAAAGTTCTATATCCGGCCATCGTTTATCAGTGTTTCTCATTTTTTATTCGTTGCTCCCTCGATTCTGTCCGCCTTCGTGTCACCTCGCGAGTAATTAATCGTTCTCGAAAGCTCGCCGTTGTTTCCGATGAACAATCACGGTCGAATTTCTCTGAAAGACCAGCCGTGTGCACTGTTACACACTTTCTACGTGGCCGTATGTAATACGTGTCCACCGAACTTGGTCCTTGGTATTGTCTCGTAACGTTCGCCATCTCCTCCTAGCGTGCTCGTCTGAGGACGAGCAAAGTGGTCGCTGACACTGGAAGGTCGTTTCCACTTTACATTGACACACTCATCGGCTCGTGGTTTTATGGCGATACGTGCTTCCCCGGCGGACCGGTAGCCGGTATTATAATTTTACTTTTGCCGGCGACTGCATAAACTATACAATTTGCGGCCGGTGTCGTTCCCTAAATTGCCTAGACTCTTGTAATAAACGATGGTCCGAATGAACCAGCCGTTACATCACAATGCAGACTTCGGAGCATCCTCTGCCTCGGCATCGCAGATTCGCTCTTTTATTTCTTCGCCGGTATTTTACGATATTCCGTGGCGCGGTCAGAAAGTCGTCGGCTCCCTATGAAAATTGGTTTGTGATGTAAATGCGATAACGTACCGGTCACCTAACGAGAACTCCCCGACAGCGTTTCATTTCTGAATCATTCAACTGTATTTACGATCCTCGTGCACCCATAGAAAGTAACACCGAATAGGGTTTAGTACATCAAATTCTTTAACAAGGTTCGACGACGGTTTCGTGGTTTCTTTCAGTTCCTCGTTTCTTCCAGGTATCTAATACCCTTTTCGAGGAATCCCGTGGTAACATTTACGTGCACCATGGGCACGATACGCATTTTAAAATTCCGCTCGGATCTGTGACACGAGTACCCGGCATCCTTCGTCGTTTGACTCGCGGTAGTGAACCGTGAGAATTATTGCATAAGATGGTATCACGTGTGCTGGTTGTTACCATTCGATATATTAATAGACGTGTCGAAGTAAATATTCACCAGGCCGACCCGTTGCGCGTGTATTTCCCCGTCAATCTTTCTCGTTTCAAACAATACCGGGAATCATACGCGAGAGAATCAGTCACAGCTCAGTCCTCGAGTCACGAGTTCCGAAGAGGTGCTCGAAGTGGAAAATGAAAATAGGGAAAATCGCAATCCCGCGGGTTCTAAATCGCGACGCGCTCCTTCGAGCAGCACAAGGCCGTCGTTTACTTTCTTATACTTTCTTACTTTCTTCGCGGTGTCCTTGATACCACGCCACGTAATTTTCGATCGTCGCCCACCGCGATTCATCGACATTTACGATTCATTTCCAAGGAAGCATTCCTGCGCCACGCCGACGACTATTAGCCGAGAAATGCTCTCTTTAGCAGCTGATAACTTTCAACATTCCAAATTAGAACGCTTACTTTTCAACACGCGGACTAAATTGCTTTCACTATTCTTCGCGTGGCTCTGAATTGGAACAACTCTTTGCTCAATTACCTCTAATTTCGCACAATTTCAAGCAGGCAAACCTAAAACTGACTTCAGTTTACTTAAAGCTTACATTTCAATTAATTTTTAAAAGTTGCACGATAATCGCACGCATCTCAAATACAAGTTGCTCATAATATTCGTTGGAATTACTCGAAGACACGTCCCGTCGTCCGTTTGCAATATCTTAATACTTCCGTAATCATCCGTTCGCAATGTAGTTCGCAGTTACCTTGTTAACATTAAACTCCGTGTCAGTCACCAGTGACCTACGTTTCTAAATCACTTGACAAGAATTACAATATGCAAGATGATCGCTGTCGACTAAAAATATTTAATAACATAAACAAGTTAACAATAGTGTAATGTAAGAATTTCGATACAAAGTAATTAACAATTGTTCTCATTTACCTTCGCCACGAAAGAACAAATCATGCATAAACTGTTCAACCCTTTGCGAAGGCGATATTCTCTGAAACCAACTCGAAGAGAAATCACAAGAACATTGAAGAACAGTGCTATTTTATTCCAATATTTCACGTACAGAGGCATTATACTTCAACACTAAACGTCAAATTTTTATAGTTTTACCACATCAAATTAAATGGCGACCGAGAGTCGTCTCTCGAGTGCAAAGGGTTATTCTCGTGGCGCTTGACGCGTTAAATCTTTACTTCAACGGTTTGCTCTCCGAAAAAAAATCCTCGGACCGTTTCTGTACGTACCATACATGCAGAAACGAACGACGTCTTTCCCGGGGCCTCTAACGGGCGATCGCCGGCAGGTGGTCCCGGTTTAATCGAAACTTCGGTATTTTGAGCGTCCGAGTCGGGCCGGGCCACATCCCGGATGTATCTTCGCAGGCCCAGCCGTGACTAATTCCACAACAATGGAATCTCATCCCGAGATTATCGACCGTAAGACAAGGCCAACCGTTTCTCGTGCCGCGCACGGGGCCTGGTAACTCGCGGGAGAGAAGCGAAACAGAAGAGAAAAAGGAGGATGCCCGACGGTGCCGGCGACGAGGAGGATTTCGTTCCGTAATTAAGAACGAGCCGATAGGAGCGCGACGGTCGTTAACCTGCGACCGATGTCTCCAGCAGGACAATTAGAGGGACTGGCCGATTTCTTTTCCCACGTAGAGACGTTGTGAAATTCAAAATGCGTCGGTTGGGCGTTGCCTTTTCGCCTTGGGGACGGAAGAGACGCACGCCTCCGGATCCGCTCGGTTTTCGTTCGGCGAAAGGTTCGGCCGAGGTTTGAGGAATCATCGATCGGACTCTTGATTTTATTTCTTCGTATTGTTACATTCGATTTATGAAATTTGATTTATGAAATTCGATCGATGAAATTAGACACGGTGAAATGCTTCAGTTGAATTTCGCTCGATCGTTATCTGTCCTGGAACGCGATCAGAACCAGGGTTTCCATTAATTGACAATTTCTTGAATGGACTGCGAGGATTGCGGCATACACTCAAAGTGTAAATTGAAATGATCCATCTTCGGTGTATAGCCGTTTCTCGGCCATTAGTAGCCGTTAACACGCTAAACTCCCGGGCGTGTATAGTCGTGCAAGGAACTTCATTTACAAATTAATGAATCAGTGTTCCGGACAGCTGTTCATTCCGATTTTTCTCCGCTTCTTTCACTGAGTTTCGTTGGCACCTAGAGGCGAGCGTTCCGCTTATAAGTTATTTAAGCTTCTCTTGCATCGACGCACGATTACAATGTCGCCGGACTTCGATAATGTTTCATTCACCGATTTCTTACCGATATTCGGTTTAATGGTCTGCGATTAATTAAATACG